CTAAAGTTAACTTTAGTGGTTTTATACCTCATATTAACCAGATAGTGGTTTTATGCCTCATATTAACCAGATAGCGGTTTTATGTCTCATATTAACCAGATACTGGCTTTATGCCTCATATTAACAACATAGTGGTTTTATGCCTCATATTAACCATATAGTGGTTTTATGCCTCATATTAACCAGATAGCGGTTTTATGTCTCATATTAACCAGATACTGGCTTTATGCCCCATATTAACAACATAGTGGTTTTATGCCTCATATTAACCATATAGTGGTTTTATGCCTCATATTAACCAGCTGACAATCAGAAGCCATTCTATGGGATGGGGAACCTGCTAAGCGGCACAGGAGGGACATTCTGAAGCCATTCTAGGGGACTGATAACGCCTAATAACGTCCATTTCATGGACTGATGACATCAGAATCCCCTGTAGTTAAACATAAGTTTGCAAGTGTAACTTTGTGAAAATCAGTTAACATTCCTCCTCCTGACACTTATTTACACCATTTTTCTTTCAGGTAGGCAACATCAGTAAAGTGCTGGAGCGTGTGAATGGGGTAGCACGCTGCCCGTACGACCCTCGTCACAACTCCACAGCCGTGGTGACAGAAAGTGGAGAGCTGTACGCCGCCACCGTCATCGACTTCTCGGGCCGTGACCCGGTCATATACAGGAGCCTCGGAGGCATGCCCCCCCTGCGCACCGCCCAGTATAACTCAAAATGGCTCAACGGTACAGTTATGGACTACTTTTAAACATTTCTTTAACATAACTTATAAATCAATCATCCATCCATGCATCAATTTGATTCCGCTTCTCTGAGACCCTGTCACAGGATAGCTGCTGTACCTTCTCCAACTCATTTGGATGTATTCCCAGGTGTTTTAAAGCCAACGGCAAGGTCTATATCACTAAYTGAGGAGCTACATCCCCCATAAACATGTCCCCAGTGGTGGGTAGCACTAACCCAAAAATTAGCTCTGCAAATTCTAAAGCGCCTGTGATAATATTTATGGCCGCAACTTCAACAACACTAATGCCATAGAAAAATTAGCAGAAGCTAATTTTAAAATGCAAGTTCAATTTGACACTTACTAGCTGGCAACAATTCATGTACAATATATGCACAACACTGCYAACTAGTGGTGTATGAACCCTTTTTACAGCTTAATTCTACAACCGCCGATTGCTGGGGAGTGATTTCCTGAAACAGAATTTTGATTCCTGGTGTAAAAATTAAAAAGTTGTTGAGGATTGCTAGTTCGGCTGCTTCTTTGTCTTTTTCTTTTGTTTGTTGWAGATTTTTCATTAAAGAAGCATCAATAAAGTAATTTTAAATCTGTTTATTGTAAAACTGAAGCGATGCATTCTGGGTGCATGACAGATTTGATTTGTGACGGAAAATGAAACCACGGAGTACAGGAAACTATCTTCCCTTCAAAATAAGAGCTTGGATTTTAAAGTTTTCCATGTAGTTGCTCCAGTTGTCCACTAGATGTCAGTCTTCATCAGCATAACATCTTTAAATCATTTCTGCGTCTCTAACACCTAATTTACACTACTTGCGTTCCGGCTCTGCTGCGCAGGTCACAGCTGTGTGTTTCAAGTCCAGTTTACACCACCTCCAGTCCGGTCCGGTCCGGTCCGGTCCGGTCCGGTCCGCTCCGCTCCGACAGACGTGCAGGAAGCAGATCGTGTGATAAATTCAGTGATAAATGTGGAAGTCACAGCAAAAATAATTAATTCTGTGAAAGACGAACTCCAAACAGCTGAAAACGATATAAAGGCTTCTGGTATCTATGTTGAAACTGTCTCACTGTCGTCTTTCTGATTTCAAAATAAAATCCACGTGTATCATGTGTGTACACA